CCATGTCTCCCAGTGTCCCTAGTGTCTCAGTGTCCCCATGTCTTCCAATGTCCCTAGTGTCTTAGTCATAGGTGTGTGCACGGGGTGTGCTGGGTGTGCCTTGGCACACCCTAATCCCAGCGGCACGCCTATGTATATTGAGACCGGCAGGGGAGATCTCAGGATCTCCCCTGTCGGCTCATGCAGAGCCGACGCTATCCGAGCGCCGGCTCTGCTTTCAGCCTCCCTCCCCACCGACCCACAGGCAGGGAGGGAGGCAGGAGAGGACCCGGGGAGCTCTTGCCAGTAGCTCCGCCGGGTTCCTCTCGCGGGATTCTGAGCGTTGCCGTGGCAACGCTCAGATCTCGCGAGCATGAACTCTAGCACCGCAGGCTAGAGTTCACTCTCCACTGGACCACCAGGGAAGGCAGCAGCAACAAGGATATTAAGTAATCTGCCCCCACCTCCACTGGACCACCAGGGAAAGCAGCAGAAAGGATCCCCCCTCCCAGGCATAAGGTAGGAAGGGAGGGGGGATATTTACTAAGCAGCCCCCACACAATACACACAATCACCCAAACATACAGCACCCACATACAGCAACCCCCACACACAGCATCTACACACATACAGCACACACACCCTTACACACACACACTAACAGCACATTCACACACACAGCACCTTTACACACACAGCACCCTTACACACACAGCACCCTTACACACTAACAGCACCCTCACACACACAACAACCTTGCACACACAGCACCCTTACACACACAGCACCCTCACACACACACTAACAGCACCCTCACACACACAGCACCCTTACACACACACACTAACAGCACCCTCACACACACAGCACCCTTACACACACACTAACAGCACCCTCACACACACACATCGCCTTCACACACACACACAGCGCCCTTACACACAGCGCCCTTACATACACAGCACCCTTACACACACAGTGCCCTTACACACACATCACCTTCACACACACAGTGCCCACACACACAGTGCCCCCCCACACACACACACAGCAGTATATGTGTGTGTGTGTGTATGTATATATATATATATATATATATATATATATACACACATGCAGCGTGTGTGTTTGTGCTTTAGGGTGCACACCCTTATATAATAGGCTGCGCACGCCTATGGTCTCAGTGTCCCCATGTCTCCCAGTGTCCACATGTCTCCCAGTGTCTGTGTCCCCATGTCTCCCAGTGTCCCCAAGTGTCTGTGTTCCCATGTCTGTCAGTGTCCCCTAGTGACATGGGGACACAGACACTAGGAGACACTGGGTGACATGCGGACACTGGGCAACATGGGGGACACAGACACTGGGAAACATGTGGACACTGGGAGACATGGAATTACTTGAAAGGTGAAAGCATCAATTAGAGAGAGATTAGCATATTTTAAGAGAATCTGAGTTTTCTTATTGCTGCATCCTTCGAGTTTCCCTCCGGCAACATCTCCACCAGATACATAACCCTTGAGAGGTATGACTGTTTTAGTGGTTTTGGTCGATATGATTCTGTACTTAGGCCCCTCATAATTGTCAGCACCAGACCCACTGGGCTCTTAATCTGGCCCTGGTCACAGCACCTAGACTACTTCAATTAGCTGAAGTGGTCTGGGTGCCTACAGTGTCCCTTTAATGCCTCCACTTATTCAATGTACACCACTGAATAAAACATTGAAAATCAGCAATTACTTTTAACTTTATTATCTTTCATTAAATCCTTTATTTTATTATAAAGGTATAGCAAATTACATCATAATCCAGTTAAGACAATGCAAAACCAGGGCAAACATTTCGAAGGAAGAAGCACTAACCTAGACCACCTGCAATATAGGCAGTATATGTACCTAATGTAGTATATTGGGTACCCAAGCATGCACAGTGATACTTGCTGTTCTGTTGTTTTCCCCTGATCATCAGAAAAGAGATTAACCCTCGTTGACAGGATCTGCTCCTAGGAAATGCCGTGGCAAAATGCTCACTTACCTACAATGCCATTTCGCCATTATTAAAGTCACGGTCCAGTTTTTCATAAATAAGTAAATGTCCAGCCAAAACATATCTGGCTAAATCTTAACAACTAATATGAATGACATGCTGCTGCTTTTATAGCTGCTCCCCTTGTAATTGATGGAAGAAGGGGAGCAATTCACATAAATGTGTGCTGCATATAGGCGGAATGGCAAAATACTTTTCATCCATCATTCAGTAGGCTTGCCTTTTAGGCTTGCTGGTTTCATTCCAACAAGATTCTTGTTTTCCGTTGAACTCACTATTATTTTTATTTTCACATAGTCAAGGCATGTATGGTATAATAATTCTCCCAAATAGACAGGCAGCTGGCTCAGCTCTTTCTTACAACTTCTACATTTATTTCCGCTAACTCTCTTTCCAAGCGAAAAGAACAGACTTGATTTAGATCTCTTTTCTATGTACTGCTAGGCAGAGAAGTGGCATTTTCCTCTTGCGAACAGAGAGATTTAGGCTCTTTAAATCCAAAGAGGCACACCGCAAGCTCTGTGACAGATTCTATCTACTCACCTGTTTGACTTTGAACAGACAGCAGCTGCCTGGTGTTGAGTGGGAAGGATTCAGTGAAGAGAAAGCTGTAAATGCCCTATGCCAATATCTGTTAGCCTTTCTACATACATTGCATACCCTTCAAAGGATCACTTGTATAATTTCATATTATATGCTGCATAGCTCCCATTTTTTTGCCTTTCACCACGGCTGCTCCCATAAGTTTATTTCACAAGAAATATGCACAGTAATATTTTTCATGCTGTTAACTTGCAAGACCCATGCTTTATTCTGTTTAGCTGTGCGTCACATTAAAAACAGGTGATTGTTACGGCTTCTACCAGTCTCTACCTGCAGTCTACAACCAAAACACAGGGCTTCAAGCAGCAAAAAAACAAATAATAGCCAAATCGCTATTTACACATATATATATATATATATATAAATCTTTTTTGTTTTAACTTTACTTGCAAAATGTACAAAAAGAAATATAATATTCAATCATCTCCTATTCAGGCTGCCTTCTGTTCCATGCGATTCATTGTGTACCTGTCCAATTGTACCTCTGGGCTGGTGGGGTTACTTTTTATTTTAATATAAAACAATAAAACTTGGGTGTATTTAATCAGGTAGCGCTGCATTTTGCACAGATGTCTCATGGATGCCATTTCCAGTTAAGTTTTATTTTTTTTCTATTATTGCTATAACTGTCATTAACTCTATTACTTTGCCTTATTGTAGTATTTTAATTTGCTAGTCAATTAGGGAGACTTAACTTTACCCTCAAATTGTGTTAATCAAAAATATTGTAAAAGATGAGGTGTATTGAAATTGGTGAGAAAAATAAGTAGAATGAGAGGTGAGAGCGGACAACAGCTCAATTAGCCTGCCCTTCGGTGGGTCCCCACTCAGATCTCAAGCTGGTTTTAGCTCAACTTGTGCTGAACGTCAGAGCATCCAGTAAGCATCTTTAGTGGCCGTCTGAGTGACTGCCACCAGAGGTGTTCCTAGACACCAATGTAAACACTGCATTTTCTATGAAAAGGTGGTGTTTACATTAAAATGTCTGCAGGGACATGCTATAAACACCAGAACAAAAACATTAAGCTGTAGTTGTTCTGGTGACTACAGTGGCCCTTTAAATAAAATTGAAACTAATTAAAACACTACCTGCTGTTCTTTTACAGATACCTGTGTTTCACAATTAGCATGTGAGAAAGATGACACTGGACAATGAGACCTCCAGCTGGTCATTCAACTGATAATCTCTGCCTGACAAAACAGAATCTGCACCAGCACAGCAAAATAATACGAATGTCATTGTAGAACTTGTGTAACAAGTAAGAGGAGCAAAGTGTATTGGTGGGTTAGTAGCCTGAACAGACAATTTAATCATTTTATTTTTTTGTTCTGATTTAAGAAATCAGAGGAACCTTAAATCTTCCCATCCTTCTAAAGTCTATAAAATGCCTGAAGATGGAGTAATAAATTATATATATATATATATATATATATATATATTTAGGTAGTATAGAAACCTTCATTAATACCTACTTCTGAGTGTAAACGTTTCTCTCCTGTTCTTAGATCTTCCCTGGCAGTGTGAGAAATGTTCCTTTGCATACAGAAGTAAAAATCCTTGTGTTGGCCTTGAGTCCTCAACATTTTCTCAACACACTGCATTACTAACATTTTTTAGCCCTGTAAAACCAACAGTTAAATAATTCCAAAAGTCATATTAAAACAACAGTCATGTAATGTCATCAAGTACCCGTAGCCGTAGCATTCCATTTCAAAATCAAACATCTACAACATCTAAAATCAAACTGGCACTTCAGCAGTGCTGCAGGGGTACACTAGACACTAAATGTTGCCTAGGCCATTCCCTACCATAAAAAGGGGAGTGAAGAGGAATGGCTGGGGAGGCATAGAATATAATTCACAATCATACTCTTTTCGTAATGTGAATTCTCTGAACAAAAAAGCAATGTTGTAACAAAATTAGAAATAAAATGAAGAGCGTATGATATAGCAATTTTAAAAAAACTTTCAGAAAAAAAAAGACTCACAAAATTATACTGTAACAGAGAACATTTTTGACCATGGCCAAGAAACCTTTAGCTATCCACTTGCTGTTAATGATGGCCCCATCATACTGTATCAAAAAGTTGGTTAAGAATCATAGGGATAATAGCCGAAGTGCTAGGTATTGTATATTCATTTTATTTCTGATTCAGATTGTAGGTGGCACTGTTGAAATTTTCTTTTACAAGACACACAATCAATAAAACATTTTTAGAACACCAACACGATGTTGAATATGGAAAAAAAAAAACTATTTCAGGAAACTTTTACGACATAAGCTACAATATAATCTTGTTATTGCAATAACCGATGGGGTGCAAATCGGTGTTTATTATATTTGGGCTATCACATGCTTACTGGGTTACCATGTGCTCTTCTCAAAAGCTGTGTCTGTTACATAGCTCAAAAAAACAACGTATGCTACCGTGTTTCATTAAAATAGTTTCTGTCAATTGAATGCATCCATATTAACATATGTAGTTACAGGATGGGTATAGTCAAGACAGACACAATGTTGAAGTTTCTATCCCACTATACCAGGTTTGTTCTGTCGTGTCTCTTTTCTAGGACACCAGAGAAATATCATTGTAAAGTACAGCCTGAGCATTTTTATTAAAGGTACACTCCAAGCACCATAACCAATACAGCACACTGTAGTGGGACTGGGTATAGTGCGAGGAGTGGCCTGATCCCCTGGATGTAAGTAGTCAAACTGTTTGCTTATGGTTTGACAACTTACCTAGGGCCCAGCGGATGCCAGTCACCTCCTCTTTTGAAAGTCAGAGGATTTCTGCTCTGAGCTAACCAGGTGGTGCAGAGCTCTCAATAAGGTAAATGACCAGTGCCTGGCAAACTGTTGGTAAATGGTTTAACTACTTGCACTGGAGGGGTACCATAACCACTTACAGTGATCTGTAGTGGTTATTATGCTTGGATTGGTCCTTCGTACACACTCTCCCCATATACAATCAAGAGGCGCTGGCTAGCACAAACTGGGCGCAATTGTACCCACTTCATAAATGACTCTCAATGCATCACAGAGACTGCGCTCTCTACATGTCCCAATGTGGGCAGACAGGCTATATTGGCTATGGTTTTTATGCCAGTTCCTGCTCCATAGAGCAGTACCCTGGGCTCCTGTGCAGTTATGTTCATGCTTGCTCATACATACTGCTTCCTCTTACATCTTACAGGACACTGTCAGTGGAGAGAAGTAAACAATCAGGGTCAGTAACTGAAGAGTTGGCAGCCAAATTGCATGAGTTGTGCATAATAGCTAAATTGGATTAAAATATCCACTAAACCACTACATTCCTATGCAAATGTGACTATTGTCCTCAAATTAGCTTATTTTATTGCAGGCAATTCACGATTGCTGGCAACACACATTGTTATAGGAAATGCAGTGATTTGCCTAATTAACTATATATATAAATATATTTACAATAGATACCTACTGGCTGTATAGCAGGCAAGAGTTGTTGCTCTCTGATAGGCTCTGGTAGGACTTGAGTCCCTGCTCTCCACTTTCTCCCTCTGCGCACATCATGCTGATACTGTGGGACCTGCTCTCCTTGGAAGATGCCAGAAGGTTGACTGGCTGCTTCTTACCTTCCTTAATCCATCTGTAGTTTATTTTGTAGGGCACCTGTGGGTAACACAGGTGCTGCTTTTTTTGTTAATTACTCACAGGAAGCAGAACCAATCATGTGTTAAAGAGAGCTCTGTAGCTGCTCTAGGCATTTTGTAATGTCAGCATCGCTCAGATGACCCTCAGCAAGATGAGAGGCAGCAATTCTAACAAAACAAAGACTGAAAGACAGTATAGGCATGTTACGGAACCTTAGAGTGTTTGGGCTTAATGCAGAGCAAGAACCAGGAAATAGAGCTTAACTAGAGAACAAAAAAAAAAATAGAAACTAAACAAAAATGTGTACAGGACAAAAAATCTTCAGTCAAACAGGCCAAAATCAGGATTACGGACTGGAACAGATCAATGAACAAGTTGGGTCTCTCATACATGATTGACTTAGCTTCCTGGGAGCAATCAACAGAGAAAGGCAGCAGATGTGTTACCCACAGGTGCCTTACAAAGTAAACAATAAATGGACTGAGGCAGGTCAGAAGCAATCTTCCCAAGGAGAGCAGGTTCCACAGTGGTGCGGCATGCACTTTGCAAAAGCAGAATGTGGGGAAGAGGGGTTCAAGAGTTTCTAGGGCAAGTCAGAGAGCAATGACTCCAGAACTTTGACTTATTTTTCACAACCTTTCCACATGCATTGTTCAGGCTCTAACACTAAAGCAGCAGATGAAGATCAGCCATGAGGAACATAGTCACCAAGACCCCTGTTTGCCAAATTGGGGGAGGAGCGGTATATTCTCCTTATTTTCTAGAAACATGTGCCTCAGAGTGAAGGTTAATTTTACCCAGCTGATAAGCCCTCAGCTGCCCACTTGCATCATTTCACTCCTCTAGGCTGGGTGCCATTATTTATTTAAAACATTTGTCCCCTGGTTTTCATTACCATGAGATTGTACTTTTGGCTGCAGGATAAGAGAATTACTCATTGAACAGGTTCAATCAGCAGTATTACATTTTTTCTGCCCTGTCTTTTCACCCAACCTTTGTGATGGTTAGGAGGGAAAATAAATCCGACAGGAAAAAAAGAAAACTCCTAACACTATATCCAAGCCCACTGTGGTGGTTATGGGGTCAGGAGTGCCCTGGTGCCCTCTCAGTGTAAGTAATAAAACTGTTTGTGAAGTGTTTGACAACTTATCTGTTGCCACTGGGCCACAGTCACCTGCTCCTCTGCAGCCTGGAAGCTTCCTTTAACTCCTCTTTGCTAAGTCATGTGGAGCAAGACCATCTCATTGGCTGAGAGTAGTGATGTCCCGAACGGTTCGCCGAACGGTTCGCGAATGGTTCGCCACGAACGGTTCGCCACGGACTCATCGAGTAAACTTTGACCCTGTACCTCACAGTCAGCAGACACATTCCAGCCAATCAGCAGCAGACCCTCCCTCCCAGACCCTCCCACCTCCTGGACAGCTCACTAAGAATGCAGCTTCAAAATGGATGCTGTCCAGGAGGTGGGAGGGTCTGGGAGGGAGGGTCTGCTGCTGATTGGCTGGAATGTGTCTACTGACTGTGAGGTGCAGGGTCAAAGTTTACTCAATGATAAGTCCGTGGCGAACAGTTCGTGACGAACCGTTCGCGAACCGTTCGGTGAACCATTCGGGACATCACTAGCTGAGAGCATTAGCTGAGCTCTCTCAGTCAATGAGCTAAGACCTGTATGGCCAGGTATAGCTCACTGTTATAGCTTCCAGGTTGCAGAGGAGAAAGTTGCTGGCACCCAGTGTCTTCACACAAGTTGTCAAACAGTTCACAAACAGTTTGACTACTTACACTGGAATGGTGTCAGGGCACTACTGACACCATAACTACTACAGTTGTCTGTAGTGGTTATAGTGCTTGGAGTGTTCCTTACATGGAGTTATTCGGTATCGTGAATAATTGACAAGATAATTCACAATTTCTGGCCACAATAGCTGAGATGGATTTTTTTTTCTATTTTTCCAGCTTGACTATTTAGCATTCACCCAAGAGACTAGCACTGTCTCCTTCCTCACCTAAAGTGTCTTAGTTATCTTGCGTTAGAAAGGGAAATGATTTTGAAAATATTTTTAAGGTCAAAATTATCGTATTCATACGTAGATTAGATGTGGAGAGTAAAAGTCAGGTTGAACTTTCAGTTCTCCAGCAATGTCAGCTGAGGTGGGGAGCAGCATCTAGTAGATCCCAGATAAGAAATCAATATATTAAAATACGGTTTGGCTGCTTACAAAATGTGGTGGGGAGAGGGAGTGGAGTTCCTGGTTCCAAAGTAGTGGTTGTGGTGCTTAGTGTGTTCCTTTAAATTCCTTCCTGATAAGTAGCCAGAGGATCTTGGGTCTGGGCCGCCGTGGTCAGTTCATGTTATACCAAAATGGGCTCACATGCACTGTGCAATACATTATAGGCAACAATGTGTTTAAAGGAACATTATAGCATTACGAATACAAATGTCTATTCCTAATGCTATAGTGCCCTAATCACTATGTAGATTACCAGCCCCCTCCTTCAGGGAGACAAAAAGTTTTCTTACCTTTTCACCCTTGCAGTGTTGAAATTTGGTATTCCTGTCCACCTCTTTGGCTGAGATCATCTTAATCGATGATCTCAACCAATCCAATGCATTTACATAGGAAAGCATCGGGAGGCTAGTGCACACGGGCAGCAAAATGCAGAACTGCACCAATCTGGTCTGAGAAAGAAATTGAGGAATTTTACTTAGTATGACAGCAGGTTAACCCCTTAATGAAAAGACTGCCATTCCTGCAGAACGGCAATGTTTTCATCTGCTGTGTTAAACAGGGGAGACATGGCACCAGCTCCACTACAGTTAGATGAAGTGGTCTGGGTGCCTTTAATGTCCTTTTAGTAATAAATCCATCATGAATAGAAGGTGCTATCTTTTTCTATGTAACAAAAAAGTAAACAAACAATAAAAACGATACATTAAAAAAAAATGAATACAATCTGCCAAGTGATTAATCTGTTCCTCAAATGAAAAGCAATTTGTATTTTCTCTCTCTCTTTTTTTTGGTCACATTTCTTACTTTTTGTTAACTACATGAATCTGTCCCAGGTACAGCGCTGGGTATACGTTTTGAAGAAATGAAATATAGAAAGGGACACCAGGATTGAGAATTCTGCTGTCACGTAATGGTGTTTGGTAATCTCATTGTGTTAGCAGTAAAGGAAACAGAGAACAGACTACCAAGCGCTATATATTGGTTGTTACAGCACTAAACAACCTTGCTTTCAATTAACATGCAGCTAACATTCTTCAGCAGCCATAATGAATTAGCCAAGGGGCAGACAAACAATATATTCCAGTTGTCTAATTGCAATCCTGTCTGCCCATGCTTTATGGATGCAATCTTAGAAATGCATGTTTACAAATTCCTCCTTTGAAATCTTCTTTCTTCATGTCCCTGGTTGGCATATTTCACAGAAATGGTCCTCTTGTAAATTACTATGCTGAAAAAAAAATAGTATTAGAATGGTATCATTTGTAAACACAGTAAGTGCCAACACAGCTTAGCAAATGAATGCACATGTGTCAGTACTGTGTATTTCCATTTATATATCAAAATCAAATATTAGGCCTGAAGATTGCAATCCTCCAGTAATAATACATTTTATTACGAAAATTCTCACACCTTTTATTTTATTTTAAGGGTTATGGAATGTCTTGCTGTGGTTGTGATAGTCCCAGAACTGACATGTTTCCCATCACCTGTGTGGGCTCAGTGATTTTATGTAGCTCACAAGCAATGCAGAAGTAGGGACATTCTCTAAGCAAAGGTGTGAAATGGCATCAATGGGCCAGGCTGACCTTCACAGTGTCTCAAGAAGATGCCATTCAGTCTGGCAATGAAAAGATACATACCCTTCACATAGTGCTCATAACTCCTCAAGTCAGCACAATGCCATTTTCTTTCTCACTCCCTGGTTCCTCTGTTGGTGTTTCTGATGCAGGATGCAGTGGCTCGTCCCTTTTGTATGACATGGCGTTTGTGTGCCGACGTCATGATATCATTGACATGAAATTGCGTCATTGGCGATGCCCATTTACATTTTGGAGGCATTGCTATCGAGTAAACACCCTAAACCAATAAATATTAGGTATTTGCATGTGTCCACTGCCCAGATGTGGTTTCTTTGTGATCTTAACAGTACACCCTTATTCTCAGATTTTCTGGTTTCTTGATTTGGCTTGTCTGATTACTCTGTTATCCATACTCCTTGAGCTGACTTGGCTTAATGTTATTGTGTACCTTTGGAATCAGTGACCTGGCATTGTCTTTTGACATTGCTATTTCACCTAGGCATTACTTTATACCTGGCCATTCTAAGGTCCAATAATAGGCTGATATCCTTAGTTCTGTCCCTTGGATGGATAGTATAGGTTTAAGTACTCTGTGTAGGGTTACCATATTGACCTTGACAGGCAAGTATTCAGACACTACACATGTAGAAATCAGAGTACATATCTGGGTTTGTAGGTTTATCTTCAAACTAAATGCTAACCTTGAGAAAACCCACAACCTCATCACTTTCAGAGCTTGGAGCTTTGGTTGAAAAGGAATTCAGATTAACAGAGTTGCACACTCTTGTTTAACACTACTACCAGAGAAAGTTTCAAAGAAGCTTCTATGGAACAAGTGGAGGCACAGGAACAAACAAAAGCAAATTAAAACCAAAGTTGCAAAGTAAGGGCAGAGTCTGACCAATGAGCAGTTTCCCCTCAGCTCTAGACCTGGCCATTACAATCCAATTCAGACCTGCACTTACAATGCACAATCCCACACAAATGTCAAGCACCTGTGCCAAGAGGACACAATGAGGTACATGAGGATACCTTGTGTATAATTCTGTTCTAAAGGAAACCACATTGGGAGCTAATGCCTTCTATCCCATAAAGGAAGTGCTAATTGATAGCCTTGAGTTTCACAATGCAATATTACCTGCTAAGAATCACAGAGTTCATGGTAACTCCTGTGTAGGTGGGCAAGACCTCAACCACAGTTGCAGTCACAGTGATCCTTGAGTCTTTCTTGCTGTCTAGCCTTTAACTTATGTTAATTATGGATGCTGTTTCTCTAGGTCTGTTTATTCATCACATATTGGAGTAGTTTTGAGGGTGACTTAATGTCGACAGGCGTACTTTTCAACTCAATTGTTTGTCTTGCAGATGCATAAGTGACACCACTAACCTACTGTATAATCCCTCTCCTTCAGAAGCATGATATTCTTTCATAGTTCCTGTTTGGCTCGATAGCGTGTTTATTATTCTTATAGTATTTCTTTGATTTGTTTTAATTATTGTTGATTTCTTTAATCCCAGTGAAGGTTTGTCTTACTAATTCTGTTTACCCCTGGTTTCCTTTTATCCTGTCTTATCTCTGACTGTGTTTTACTCTTAATTCTACGGTGGTCCTTTGCTTTCAGTCCAACTACTCTAAGGCTTGGTAATACTCCTCCATATTTGTCAATCTGTTTTTATTATGGTGTAAGCAGTAGTCATAAGGTAACAACTCAAAGTGTACAGCATACACATATAAGTTAGATAGGAGTTAGATAACAGATATGGATTATACTACAACACCATTTTTTCCTTAATGGACAAACGTTGAGGTACAACTACATGTTATTCGGTTACTGAAACCTATCTGGCCATAACATCTTTATACACACAAGATGAGAGTGGTAGATATAAAAGAACAAAAAAGAAAAAGCAGGGACAGGGCCTGAGCTTCAGGGCTGCCGGTCGCATTTTGGGAGAGCTCCTCTCTCAACTCTTGAAACAGCCGGTCTTATTGACTCCCCTCGCTCACATCTGATGCCCAACAGAATCTTACCACTATTGAGAGCTGATCAGTGCATTCGGCAGTGAGGGGCACTGTGTAAGCCAGTACTCTCCTCCGACGATATAGTGCGGCCTAGCACTAATGTAGGGCGGTAGAGGCGACCGCTCACCGACCCCGCGAAAGTCCTGGCCCTCGCAAGATCTCTCTGTCACCCCGTTCCCCTCCCTCTGGACCGGTCCCCGCTGTGACACAAACCAAAGTCCTACATCGCGGGGACACCAACTTTGCAGCACATGCTGGCACACAAGATGGCGGATGCCAGGGCCCCCGACGCCACAAGCACACCATACAGACCCCATGAACCACTGCCAAAGCACCATTGATCGACTGAATGCCATATTTGATCGCTTTTGGGCTGCCTTGGAGGATGGATGGATCGGACAGCACCAACTGTTACTGCGATGACAGAGGAAAGGAAGCACCAGAGGGGCCCTTCATAGGCGACTCAACAGCCAAGGTACCATCTGGTAAGCTACCTAGGTGCCTACCTTGGCCTAGAGCCAAACAGGGTTCGACCCCATTACTCCAGCCACACAAGCAGAAACACCCGAGTTATACACGACAAAACTTCCTCAAGCCTGAATGGGCCTTCTGCATGCTCCCGAATGGGGAGAACTTGGCCTCACAGAGTTCCGGAGTTCGTGGCGCTGGAGTACAGGCTCTG